ACAGCAGCCCATTTCCCTAAAACACAGTCTTTTAATTAAACAAACGAGCATAATAAAGGAGAGAAGGAGAAAAGTATAGTTCCCGCTATTCCCGTGTGAGGAGAAGTTCATTAAAATGTAGAGACCCTGTGGGCTTCCAGAACATTTCCTGCCGCTCGGCTCGGTAATAAGGCGGCAAAGCACAGGCTGGTACTGCACTGCTCCTGAATGTCTGCACACTTAGTCTGGTTAGAGGCAGAATTACTGCACACATGATGAGGGTACGGATCATACTGACTGCAACTACCATGTTATCCATGTGGAATGACCTTTGGGGAAGTATGCTTGTTTTTTTGCCCAAACTGGTATGGTAAGCACGCTCACAGTTTTTGGTAAAATTGAAAAATTGCTGAGACAAGTTTGTTTGCTTGATCTTAGCATAAAGACTAGAAAGAATGGAGAAAATGTCATAAAAAAATTCATACAACCGGCAACCTCATATTGATGGCAAGACCCCTGACCAATGAACTGCCCAACACAACAACCCTAGTAAAAAATAACATTAAGGCGTTTGCATGAAGAAAAAAAATACGGACCCAAGAAGGGTTGGTTATATTAACACAAAACAAAACAATTTGGCAGAAAAAACTCAAAAGTTTGAGAGAAAAATAAAGATGCCGATGATCACATGTTGATTCTGGGATCTGGGCTAAAATCAGAAGTATTTTTTTAGGGCTAAAACAACATGGCCAGGTCGCCCTTGAAAAAGGGATTTTAATCTCAATGAGAGCTTTTACCTGGTTAAATAAAGGATATATGTATAACATTTAAATTTGATTAGGTCAGTCACTGCCGACCTAATACACGGCTAGCAGCGCTGTCAGTGGTGATGAGGGTGAGCCTACTTTGCAAGGTAAGGCAATGTGGTTCCTTTACAAAAATTAAATACTACGTTTTGTCTCTTATGATACCTTTTTGGTGTTTTGGAGCCAGAAGTGCTAAATTACCAGCTAACACTGGTTCAAGAGAGCTAGATTATTCAGTCAGCTCAGCTGTGTCCAAGTTAGATGTGATATTATCTGGGAGAAAAGCCTATTGGAAAAACAGCCGACTCCTTTGTGTCTGTTTCCTGGAAAGTAAACAATGCCATGGTAGCGAAGTTGTGGTAGCAAGCTAGCCACAGGCTGCTTTATAGTAAGGTGACCAGATTTTCAAAATTAAAACCGGGGACATTTTGAGTTTTGCGGTCAATATATCATTAACATATCCACTTTTCTTCACTGTTAAAGAAAAAAGGGGGACAATTCTGGTTCAATGTAATTCGAACATTTGAACTGTTGGATACAAACAGAAGGACGATAGCTCATATATGAGACTTCAAAGGTCTTTTATTTTGAAACTGTACATCAGATTGTCCGGATTTTCTCTGAGTGATTAGATGGGGTCTCCTGCTATCACACTGAAGTGAAATAAGTATTTGATTGACTTCGAATGACTCTTTGATTATGGAAAGTTTACATTAAAGTCAAAATATAGACGGACAATAGATCTAATTTGAGATTTTAAACTGCATACATTTTAAATTGTGCTTCAGAAAGTAATGTTATTTTAGCAGTGTTGTGAGATGGTGTCAACATCAATTGAAATTAGTCACCCAGTGGAAATGTCAGATGTGTCTTCATAACTGTATGCTTACATTTTACATTCACTCAGTTATAGTGTGGTAGTTATACGTAGTTTCTTTTAAATTATTATTGATCACATTATATTGTACATATTTCTTGATTTAAGCTCCAGTATATGAATATGTTTGGTGTGTTTTTTTAGGTATATTTGTTATTGACCGAGTAAACGCTTTTATTTTGAAGGCAGTTTTTACNCTTTGCATCTAAAGCTAACAGACAGAGAATCAGCCACTTTTGAAACGCGCAGGGCTGCAACAGAGCCGGGATTATGGGTAATGCTGCCAATGATCTGTTTGGTGTTGTGGGGAGCCAAACACTTTCAGAGACATGTTTTGTGCTATATATCTGAGACTCTATGAATATGATTCGATGAAAAACACCTATAATGGCGGAACCTTTTAAAAAACTGCTATTCAAGTAAAATGTATACAAATGCATGTTTCCTCCAGGAGGTGGATTAAAATGTAGTTATGGTCCACTCTGCTGGCCTCTCTAACTCCTTGCCTGTGCTGCTCTCTGGCCAGGCATGTGTCACCATCGAGTGGTTGCGCGCAATCTGGCCCCGGCGGCCCATATGCCGGACCGGCTCCTCGATTAAAGTCACGTTCGCTGCTCCGATGCCTGTGTCGCTCTGACGCGACGCGGCTCATTTTCTTCCATTCTCCCTGCGAGCGGTGCGCTCCATGGCAGGAGAGCTGCGGCGGCCGCGCTACCAGACCACGACAGCGTAAGGGAGTTTCCAGAAATGTATACCCCAACAACAATACTCCACAAAAGTGAAAGTCTTAATTCCCCCTTGTCAACTCTGCCGCTTCAACTCCTAATCCACTAAACCCCTTCGTCCTTATTGCGACCTTAGCTTAGCCACTGTTTCTTACCTTTGTTGTTGTTATTTATTGTTTTCTTCTTTACTGATTGTAAAGTGCTTTGGAGCACAGGAAAGCCGCTATCATAAATGCTAAATGTAGCTATTATTTAGTTATTATTTATTATATTGTTATTGATTAATCGGTCGGGGGGTATGTGTGTCTTAAGGCTGCAACAACAATTCAATCTGGGAGAGACGGTTTTTTAGTAGTTAAGGAAGTACATATTTATTTGCAGGCAACTAGCACAAAATAAGATGCTGAATGGGAGTTTTCCGCGCGATTACGCGCCCCGTGGTTGCCCTGAGGGGAGGGTATCATTGGGAGCGGCGAGAACCGGGATCTGATGACCCGCGGTTCTAGACTCTGGTCCCGCGCTCGCGTGAATGGATAGTTAGGTTTGCTTCTGGACAGGGGAGGGGCTTAGCTTGACCCTGGACTGTCAGATGCGACAGGAGGGTTGTGAAAAAAGGGGTGGGAGGAGGGTTGCAGTAGAGGTCAACCTGGAAATGACAGCCCCTGTTAGGGATGCGGGGGAGAGCAGCATTTAAAAAGGGGGTTAGGCCGGAGCCTGGATGATAGGCCTTGGCCTGGAGAATAGGAGCCGAGGAGTGATTGGTTTAAGCTTGGCGTGACGGCCCACCGAATCACTTTATTGAGAGGAGACAGCAGTAGGACGCTTAGACCATCAGCTAAAATGCTATGAGTAAAGAAGGTCTTCCTGGTTGAACTTGCGCTGAGCTTCATAAGTGCCTTAAAAGAGCGGAACAGCAAAAGTATAGTATATATGTATATAGTATAGTACACACCCGAATAAGATAAGACCTTTATTAATCCCCGTGGGGAAAGTCAGTAGTTTAACAGCAACAGGGTAAGGTTGAAAAACAGGACAGCACAGAATCACACAGATTGTCTGATTTTTTCATTTATTGAGGTTTGACTACTTTTTTGTGTTACGTATCATAACGTTTTATGTGGTTAACAAAAGTGGTGGGTGTGGTACATTTATTATACCTCGTGTACTTATTATGACATATATACAACGTAAACTTAAAGTAAAGAATATAAAATTCAAATAAATGGTAAAATTAAACATAGGAAACTAAAATAGGGCGAANTTTTTTAGGTATATTTGTTATTGACCGAGTAAACGCTTTTATTTTGAAGGCAGTTTTTACATGCCTCTACCGTAATGCATAGGATACTCGCGCACCGCAATACAACGTGCGGGCTGGCTTGACTGTGTTTTTCGAAGTGGGGGCTGGCTTGACCACAGTCTGTTTACCCAGTGTTTCCTGACATGAAACGTTTTATTTCACCTTGCTATGTGTTTTTAACGTATATTAAAAAAACGGGGACATTTCCGGGGACAGTTTCAACCGGGGACAGGTCAATACAAACGGGGACTGTCCCCGGAAAACGGGGACGTCTGGTCACCCTACTTTATAGTCTTTTTCATTCTGAATTGGACCAGCATTTACAAAATGAACATAATTCTTCACTGATGAAGATTTAAAACTAGCGTACATTATTAGGAAATGTTATTAGGGCAAAACTTTGATAATCTTTTTCATTGACTTCTACACAATTGGACTTCTTTTGGCATCCTGTAGTGTTGTCGGCCATTAGACAGGATGCAGGTTTAAGGAACACATCGGCTTCACTTTTTACACCCAGAGGCTGCCGCTTGCTTTGGAAGCTATTCTGGGAGACTCAGTTTCACACATAGAGCAAGTTTACAGAGTTTAGCTATGTAAAACACTCATTTTTGTGTTCCCTGAAGTAGTTTAAGTACATAATAGTGAAATATTCAGGGGAAGGTTTCTCAAAATAACACTGCCACTTCTGTTTCTAGAGAATTATTTTGATATCTCCTTTGGGGCAATGCAACTTTTGAAAAGCTTTGCAGTAAACCTGACTTTGAAATCAAAGAAAAATACTGGTTGTGTTGAGCGGGCGTTCCGTACTGTAGGCTTGTTGTTGCCTTTGTAGTCATGTGGTTGCTTGTCTCTTAATTGACAGCGATAGTAGACCAACATGTTGTGGATTGTGGGTGTTATCTCCAGTCTAGCATCCCCTCAGTGCACCGCGCAACTCATTTCTCACTTTGGTTGCAGGGGCATGGAGCGCGTCTCTTTCTTACAGCCATCAGAAGTCAGGTGGCCTTCAGCCATTCCAGCTGTCTGTCCGGTGTCACAGTGAATCAGCATCAGGCAAGGGTGTAAAAGAAAATCACACAGTTTTACATGCTACATTTGCCTTTAATCGAGAGGAAATTGTGCGCAGAGCCGAGCCCCAAATAGAAATCTCCAGCAACACTTCGGTGCATGTGTAATTAGCGCTGTAAATCTTCTAATTAGCTTGTTGCGTTGTCACTGGTTAGAGCAGCATCCGGATGCATGCAGGGTGGGGCGTTTGGGTGTGGTGGGGCTGGTGGGGGTCCAGCAGATGGCTGTGTGCTGTCTTGCAGGCACACAGCGGTGGAGCGAAGAGGCTGTGTCAGACATCAGGCCACTGCCAGGAGCCCCACGACCCCCCCATACCCAGACTCATCCAGCCCGGCAGCTACCGAGGTTAAGAATAGAGGAAGTCTTGTCACATTGCTTGTAAAGGCATCCTGTGTTCTGAGGGGCGATACACTCTGGAAATAAACCATCGCCGCTCGCTGTGCAGCCCTGATGTTTGTTGTTTTCCGCTAGTTATTAGTCCCTTTTGGTCTCATACTGTCACAGATCTGCACGGCCTACAGTTGAGTTTAGACCTCAAGTTGACATTCTCCAATGTGGGCCCTACTGTTGGCTCATTTTATTGGGACTCTGAATACGCCACTGTATTACAGTACCTACAGTATGTTGATATCATTAAGAATTCTATGCTGACAAAATCTTCTCTTTTCAGTTTTTTTTTACTGTATCCGTCAGGACAGTGTGGACGAAAAATGTTTTAATGAGATGACAACAATAGTTTGTGTAGGGTTGTTTGATTTATTCCAAAACTTAACACACCAAAGATTTGGTTATTTAAATCTGTGCTCTGAGACAGAAGCTGTAAAAGTCGTCCTCAGTTGCTCACTGCTAAGAAAACAGTCCCTATTTAGAACGAATCATTACAACTGCCCAAAGTCGTGCCTCAGTCTGTCTAAAATCTGTTCTGACGCAGAGAACAAAAGCAGTTTCGGGGACTTCTTCATCCTCCAGATGTTGAACTTGATTCGAAAGGAAAAGGTGATTTTGAGGGGGTTGGGAAGAATGGGAGGAGAGAAGGGGGGGGACGGGGGGGACACAGCGGCAGCTGCTGCAAGAAAGAGCAGACAGCAATGGAGCATTGAAGTGCGATGCCAAAAAGGTGAGACAAAAAAAGAATTCGGGGCACAGCCACATCGGGCAAAGTGTGCTCTTTGTGTGTCAGATGTTGTTGTGGTTGGTGGATTTCATGCTGCACCTTCTTGTTTTTCTCTCCTAAAATTACCTTTCATACATACTAAGAGAACATCCCCCAAGGATCACTGCCTATTGTTTGCCATTGAAAACCAAAATACCAGATTGTTAATGAAGTATGTACTAAAATGTTAAATGGCGCAATATTTTCCCTAGTCACCCTATGTGCCATATCATGGTCCAAGTACTGCCCCTCTTTTTCACAGCTTCAGTCTCTCATATAATTACCTTTATTTGTCCCACATAGGGAACATGTACAATTGATACAACAAAGAAGCAAAGAAAGATGAAACTAAGATAAGATAAGATAAAATGGACCTTTATTAACCCCTGTGGTGAAATTCAGTAGTTTAGCAGCGAAAGGGTAAGGGTTGAAAAACATAACAGATTCACACAGATTGATACAATTAAGGATAAAATCAAAGATACAAATTAAAAATGGTAAATAACTATAAAATAAGAAATGAATTCAAATGAACATATATACATATTTATTCATGTGTACCATATTATTTACATGTGTGTGTGAAAACAATGTGTATTTTGCAATATATGCATGTGTTTTCATCAGTTTGAGTTATTTACTTTTTTAGTCTTCTTCTCCTTTTTTGTGGCTCGAAAGCAATTAAATATATAAGATATCAAATAAAGCGGGACTTTTTATAGTCTTCCTTCATAAAGCTATCCTACGTCTGCATGAACCATTCACCAATGGGGAGATAGAAATTACTTAAGTGCGGGGCTCTGCATTGAAAAGGAAATACTGTTAATGTTCCTGGTTTGTCTTGCATTGATCAACAGGTCACTGTGGAGAAGGTGTGTGTGAAAGATGAGGCGAGGTGAGCTATGTTTTGTATTTTGACTATTTTAATGCATTTTAGCTTAATTGTAATCCTTCAATTTGACCACACCTTTTGTGCTGAATGTTTGTGAAAAAGCAAACTGTCCATTAACTTGTTTATCCACAAATATTACATTAATGACACTTTTATCTGTTAATAATTTGTCATTATCTCAGTTAAACATTTGGATAGAAAAATAAGTTGTGTTTTTCATCGTTGCCTCTTTGTCCTTCTTACTGTGTTTTTGTAATGTAGACTTTAATGTACATCACATTAAAGGCTTTGCTCAATGCGTTGTTTATTTCTCAGAGAGTTCACCCTGGACATGTCGATTGAGATGCCGAATGAGATCACAAAGCTGCAAATCAGCCATAAAGTCAAGATCAAGGTAATCTGTGTTTGACATTTGTTTGGGATTTTTTAGACATTGTTACGGCTGTCAGTTATTGTCTCTGTCTTACTGTGTACCTCCACACATCAAGAAATAACACATATTGTACACTTCTATAGAAATAGCATGTATTCTCTTGACTTGATGCGTTTGGAAATGCAGACAAAAGTGTACCAAAAATATGTAAAATGCCTTAATGCTAAATTGTTTGGCATTTTGATTATGTATCCGTACATTGCACAACCTGGTTAATGAAAAGTAAAATGTCTACTGCTTTATGTAATTCTACTATTGGGGCTGTCATTTCTACCTCACTCTAGTGCTGAAATGATGCCAGAGTTTTTTATAATTAACAATATCTTGATTTAGCTAAATAGTTTTCATCTCAAAATACGAGAGATCTCCCTGGCACAGCTTCAATAACATTTCTTATTTTTGTATCATATCAAAAGTAGTTTGTCTTTATCTGCTAATCAGACTGCATACATTTAAAGGTTTTGTATCTGATTACGCAGATTTGTCATTATGTTGGAGGTATTTTACACTAAATATTTGACTCGTCGTTACTATGTTTGATAGTATATAGTCCATAATAAAATTAAATGATTTCTTTATGTTGGAATAATACTGAATGTACTCTTCTAATATCAGAGTACACATGATAACAAAAGGCCCTACGTAGCTGTGTACATGACAGGATGTATGATTACCTAGAAGAGCATCAGGACTGTTTGAGGCATATGATAGCTATGTGATTAACATGATGATTCAGCCTCTATGGAGATAGACATATGACAAGCATGATCATTTCTGACGTGGAGCTTATCTGAACTAAACATTGAATTTTTAGGTTTTGAGAAAAAAATCTGAATTTTGAGGAAAAACGTCAGAATGTTGAGATTTTTAGAAAAAAATCAAAATTTTGAGAAAAAGTCAGAATTTTCTGAGAAAGTCAGAAAAAAGCTAACAACTCAGTATTTTGTACATGACAGGATGTAAGATTACCTAAGAACC